TTATATCATATAGAGTCACACGTGTATAAAAAATTGATCTATACTATTTGTCACAGGTACTATTTTCCGCAAAATTAAAGATATTATCATCTCATTTAACTTCATTTTTTTGCTGACAATGCGCTTGAGCACACCAGTAATGGGTCCTATAACATTTTCAGCCGTCCAAGGAGTCATCAATGCACAAGTCGCGAGACGAACAGGCATTAATGCCTTTAAAAATTTTTTACGTGTATTTACTAACAATTAAATATACTTGCAAGATGTTGAAAATACGTCACATAAACAGTCATACCTTAACAATTGCATAACTTGTAGCAAGATTCAAAAGCTTTCTACTCCCATTTTCGAAAGGTGAATACCCATAGTAAACTACAATTCGATTAATAAATTTATTTCCTTCGTCCAAAGCTTGTTGCGGAAAAGGTATTTCGATACCAGTAGATGAAAGGAAAATATAAATAATTGGAATTGGTACTATTGCTGTCAGTTCATGTAAAATAGCAAATGAAATTATGTAAGATGTAGGTTTTGAGCGAAATTGAGACGCATATTTTCGCCAGCCTTTTAACTGTTGCTCACGATAGTTGGAGAATGGTTTGTGAGAAGAACGTGGAATTATACGTGAAATTGGCTGTAAATTAATGTTAATTGAATTTTTTTGTTTGAAGTATTTAGATGTTAACAAAGGTGCAGTGGAATAAAAAGGTTGTTTTAAAATTCGTGAAAACATAATATTTCTAACGTCAGAAATGTAGCAATTCGACTAATTTATACAGTACGGGACAGCAAAAAACATTCGATTTTTTAACAATTGTTTAATGTCTAATAACTTTATAACAAATAATTAAGCTTATTTTAAAAATCTCTTTTACGGATTTATTATTTATAAACTAAACTACAAATCTGTAAGACAGATTTTAATACCTTGCTTTTACAAAGGTTATAAGGGATCAAAGTCATGTGCTAATAATTTTATTGGTTAATGAATAATTTGTAATTGAAATTGCCTGATAATCAGATCCGAGATCGCAATTTGTCTGGCTATCATTTTTTTTACAGGCGACGGGTTTCCCGTAAGTGATCTAAGTAATTTGAGGCTTGGATTATGTAGATATCATTAATCGTTCCTAATTTGGTAGCAACTTTAATTATCAAGAGGCTTAGAATATGGCGAAGCTCTGATCATTGAACCCGAAGTTTCAAAAGCTTAGCGGATGAAACTATAGTTTCAAGATTCCAAACTTTGATCATTATAAGCCCTGGGTTTTTGTGATTCTTAACTTGTATACAAATAGTGCCTTTTCATGCTAATAAAAGAAGGGAAGAACAATTTCACGATATCTTAAACCCTTAAGAATCGATCCCAAATAAAAACTAGTTCATAAGTTACGATCGGTTCTATTTCGACAAAAACATCATTCTTGATCCACACTGAAAAAAATAATGCATATCGATTTCGACCCATGCGATCAATGATATTAATTAACTATGCAATACAGAAATTTAAACCTTCATTTTGCTTTATTAAATATATAGATTGATTTATTTTTGTTAACTGAAAACTATTATTTATTTCCCTATACATATATGCAATTATTAAGACAAATTTTTAAATAAACTAATAAGTTTTTGACCTATATAAATATGGTTTTGTTCTTTGTAACTTAGTCATTACAAACTTTAAAAAATAATTTTTAAAATTAAAGACTACACATCTAATTAAAAATCGTAGGGTCTACAGCTCAGAAATAATAATAAGCATTTAGGATAAATTTTATATAGATCAAAAACGATTGTATTTTTTTTTCCAGGATTGGTCAAAAAAAATGGATCAGATGGATTAAGAGCAACGTTTTTACCTTAAAAAAAATTTCCTTATGAAATTTTGGTTTTAACTACTACCCTATCTAACCATAATCTTACAATTGACTGTTGTTTTTTTTTTTGCCAAAAGATTTTGATTTAATTAAAGGGCGGTGATGAATGATAAATTTCTTTTAAATATAAATAATAAAGTAAATTATCTACTTTTGCTACAATTTAATACAAT